ATGATTTCGATAAAGTAATAAAATAAACAGAACTCTTCTCAAACAGAATATTTAAAATGTCACTTCTATATTTATTATAAATACTTTTGACATTTACATAATTATATTTAGAACACACAAGTAATTTTCCGTAATAAATAAACGATTCAAAAATCGGGTCACATAAATTTCTTTACAAAAGCAAATATATCATAGCACTTGAATCTCGATTATATATCATAGACGTTGTAAATTTCATAAGAAGAAAAAAAAATGAGAAAAAGAGGTCGCGGTGTTTTGTGTTCTTTGAAAAAAAAATGGGTGAATCGCATAAAAATACACGATGAAGTAGCGACCTCCTTGGCTCCAAATGTGCTATTACGCAAATTCTCTCTCAACAAGTTCTATAACCCTGATGTTCACGATATGTACACACATTGCTTTATTTGTGTTCGAAATGGACGACAATTCAACGATATTCAAGGTTTATGATTTTTTTTTTTTTCAATAGAAACTCGAAGATCGGTGGGAATACGAAGGATTCCTCATTGTCGAAAATGACTTTACCGATGGTTGTGATTCAATCTTTGGCGCTCGAGAAATGAGTAATGTTTCATAAACAAGACTTAAATATTGGCGATAAATTAAATTGTATGTAGGCGGTTTTGAAATAGCGAGAATATAGTAAAATGTCGATTATCCGACCACATAAAGGAGATAAAACGATTCTGGTAACAGGATTTTCGGGTCATTGATGCGGAAGACCAAACATGGGGAAATTGGATCATATGAAAGTTTGTTTTGGAAATTTAATAGAAGAAAAAAAAAGATATATATAAAATTTACAATTATATGGTTATTTTATATTAATAATTTTTTTTTTTTATTAGAAATATTTGCTTAAAATTTACTTTCTATCGTATGTTTCTGGTAATTTAATAGTATTTTTTTAGTAGTAATTTTTTTTTGCCAACTTATGGCAATATAGATTCCTAACTTTTTTAACTATGTCATTAAAATCAATTAGAAAATCTTTAGATATTTCAAATATATATTAAAAATTATGTTTTATACATGTATAATAAATAAATAAAATAAATAATATATTATATATACATATATAAAGCAATTTTGTTCCGAATGATTGTTCATAAACTATTATTTTATTTTTTTTATAATAATATTAAAGAAAGAAAAATTGACGAAACAAAAAAATTGAATTAAATGAATGTGAAAAAAATAAAAATGCAAATGACATTTGCACATTATTATAAAGAATATAATTCGAGAGACATGAAAAAAGATAGGACAGAATGCACAAGATGCAGTGCATCGTTACTATTCTTATTTAGATCATGGACTAAATATATGTATTTAGATCAGGGACGATATAATATTATACAATTTTGTCCGCATTATGAAATAGAAAAAAATATTTAGATTTTTTATTTTTCTTATTTTATATCAATCGTAAAATCATTATTAATTATAATTTTGAATTTGAAGAATTTGCTTTAATTATATCAATTAACTTAAAATTGAATACTATTCTTTTTATTTCCATTTATCTTAAAATGCTATCGAATAAAATCTCAAATCTCTTAAAAAATTTCTATCAAAAATGATACTTGAGATATTATTCTGCTTTTAAGAACGAAACATTGCCATTTTATCGTTCATTGTGAAAAATATATAAGAACAAAAAGAGAAAAGATACGAAAATTAACTTTATAACTTTAAATAAAGCTATCTTGTCTTGTACTTCTTAATGATTAAACACACATGAGAACACTCCGTCAAGGTAACCACATTGATCGAATCTCGACATCTATTTTAATAGAGTTGAAACCTTGCGCATTATCAATATCTTAATAATAAAGAAAATTCTATTTAATCAATAAGAATCAGAAGAATCTATTTAATCAAAACGAAAATATTTTAATATTCAGAAAAAATTCCCAAAATATATTAATAAAACTTCAATCTCGTGACTCACAAAAGTTCGACTAGATATTTTGATATTCTCAATTCGAGATCCTGAAATAATCTCGATCCGATTATTACCGAATTTATCCGAATTTCTAATACCGCTACATACGAACGAGAGATATTCTCGAGAATTACTTCTCATTAGTCGAAAATAAGTTTTACTTTCAACACAGTTTCACAACTAGCAAAAAATGCTCTGTTGAGAGCAACTTTCGAAAATTTCACTCTCAAATATCACCTTCCACAACATTCTAATTCGAAAAAAACTTTCACGATCCCAAACAGTACGAGAGTGTTACGATCTCGCCCGATTTTGTCCGATCTCGCCCGAATCCTTCAAACTCTATTCGAACACATGATTATTTCAAAATGATTTTCAAAATGTTCACGTTGGTCGATATTGACCCATTTTTTGGTAAGTTTTTGAGATACAAATAGAAATTTTCGATTCTATATAAAAAATGGACCCATAAATATTTATCGTGCACCGATATTTTTCTCTTTCGTCGTTGGTCTACCCCGATCCATCATTACTTTTACACGAAACTGTTCGCCGTAGGAGATCATCTGTTTATTTATCGTTGGCAATTAAAACGTGTACGAGATCTGGTACGTGTCAATTATGTTGGAAGATGTTTTCTTTCATATCGATGGTAATAAATTTAAATCAAATATACACAAAAAAAAAAAGAGAGAAATTACTAATTTACTAGTGTCGTGAACTATCTTACTATTGAGTTTCGTTAAAAATTATTTAGTTCGTTATCTGATAACGATAGGGAACAAGAGTTATTTAAGTTTTTATCACGTTTTATATCATGTTTTCATTTGCTTTTTGCACAATTCATCGTGTTAACGGTAATTGCTACATATCGTATGATATTTTATGCTTCAGAAAATTAACACGTTATTTCATTATACGCTTATGAGAAATTGTTTTATACGTAATGAATTTTTTTTTTTTTTTTAAGAAGGATAAAAAGTACGTACAAATTTTATCGATAAAAATTGAACGAAATAATTTCTTTAAACTTTCGGTTTATTTACTAATAAACCAGGATTAAGGAGATAACAATACTCGTTTTCGCCCATTTTATCAAATTTACCCAACTTCAGAATCCGAAAGATCGTTGAAAAACAAAACGATTTTCCGCGCGATCGGTATTTCAGTTCTCGTAATTGCGCGGGGCCACGGATCTATATCCCTGTCCCCTATCGCAAACACGGTCGATATATATCCATTCGAAGCAAAAATCAATGGGCATAACGAACAGAGATTAGCGAGCGTGTCGGTCGTTTCTGCAAACGATCCGATCACGATCGGCCGTTGTCCACTAGATGACATTCGTTTTCTATGAAATTTCTCGCGAGAAATAAATGATAGGGGAGCAAATAAAGTTTATCGGGAATGGTATTGAATTATAACTTACTTGGCGCGGAGGATACCGTGATCACGAAGGCGGTTCCTTCTGGGCGAGGCTCTTCCATTGCACTTAGGTAGAGCTGAACCTTGCGAATACTCCTAATGTGGGTATGTCGAGCGCACAATTTTTGGTAGTCGGGACCTGCGTTCGCGCTGTCCCGGATTCACGAAATCGAAATATAAACGTGTTATCCAATTGTTTTTCAACCACGGTTGTCGTTGGACGGTGTGATGAGAATGCGCTCTATCATAAATTTTCTTAACCTTTTTTTCAGTTGTCAATTTTCAACATATATATATATGTTATCATTGAATTGAAATAAATAATTCTTTGTATTCTATTCATTGAAAAGCACTTGTAAAAAAGAATAAAAGAGACAGCTTTCGCTTGCTTTAATAAAAAAAATAATTGTCAATATCGTGTAAAATACGTTACGTTATATTTTTTTATTATCATACATTTTTATTTATATATAATAACGATGAAATTACGTTAAAATATATTAAATGGAATAGTATAATAACATAATTATCGATAAATAAAACATCCTTGTATTTAATCGTCTTCCATTTTTCTTTCGTTCTTCCGTGGAAATTATTATATATTATTCACGTGGCTCGTTTAACTCGCGAAAATGAACATATATAAATTATTATCTTGGAAGGAATATTTTATGTTTCTATTTAAAACGGCAAATTCTATGTAACAGAGGGGGTTGTATCGATCGCCGGATATGACTCTGGCGGATGTTGAAATATTGTCAGAAAAAGGGGAAAAAAAGTAAATAAAGAAATCTCTTCGCGAGATCATATTTTAATCTCACTGTGGAATAAAAATTCATACTATTTGAACTTTTAGAACGTACGGTCTCGACCATGATCTCGAGTAGTACGCGTAATAAATTAAAAAAGTGCGAAAAATAAAGGAAAATGATACTTTTACGAATAATTCCTTATTTTAAAATAGATTATTAATGATCAATAATAAGTCGATCAATAATTTATCGATAATTTTATTCAACTTTTTTACTCTAATTATTCTTATCTTTGTATGAAAACGTTTTATTGTTGCAAATACAAAAAAAATTTTTTTAATGAAATAATTTAATTTTCTTTGAACACTGTTTCAATATATATATATATCATATTCGTGATTACATATCATTATATCATTTTGATGATTATATCGTATTATTTCGTATTCAAAAAAAAAAAAAAAAAAGAAGTCTCAAACGAAACATTGGGAAGATAATTTTCTAACATTTTTTTTTATCCTACTGTCTCGTTCTTAAGAACATTTAAATTTGAAACGTGAAGTAATATTGTCCTCGAGAAAAGAGCAATTCTTCATTTTTATTTATGCTCAGACTATAGCGTGTCTCGCATATCTTGCGGTTTTAGCTTTGTGCGTGTAAGTGACATTTCCTGATATTACCAAGAAAAGAACCACAGTCATTTGAAACGGATAATAAATAAACCGCGATCCTTTATTCACTTTATAATTTATTTTTCGAATAAAAATTTTAAAAATCAAGTAAATAATATCTCACAGTACAAGACGTAATTTGAAAAGACGTTTCAAGGTTAATTTCTTTGTTAAAAAAAAATATTATTATTAATTTAATTTATTTTACATTTCTTTAATTTATTCCATTTTTAATTACGTATTTGTTGCAAATAAAATATTGTACACAATTTTCTACTAAACTTGATTGAATTTCGTTATCTTTCATCAAGCTTAATTTCATTCAAGGAAGAAACATCGTTTGCATCGAAATCATCCGATTGTCTTGTCAATCTCCTTATTTACATTAATCACTTAATTTTATTAGAAACCAAAGCCATTTCAGAATGGTGTAATAATTTGTCTTGAAATAAAAAATCAAGGAAATATTTATAACGTAATTTAAGAGATACATATGTACACTTATATGAAATATTGTAAAGAATGACAAAAAAATTATGATAATAAATTCGAACGAAATTATTTTTATCGAATATCTCTCCTTATCTCTTACTCGCCTTTCTTTTTTGCGATTAATGAAGAAACACTATATGGTGATAGTTTCGCATCTCTTGTTAGAGAAAACGCAATGATGCCGGGAAAAACCTTGAAGGACGTGGCACGTCGTCTCGCGTGCCACTTATTTCTTTTTTTTTTTGGTATGAAGTACTTTCCTCTTGAGGATCGTGGCTTATCCTCGAGGAAAAGGGTCTAACACAACGATCAGATGAACATAAGCAGACAAAACGACTCAGACTTCGTTAACGAATAAGTTAGTATCTCATTTTAGAGTTAAATTATTTTTCATATGAGATTCTTGAGAAGGTGGAAACTACTCATGACACGAATAATTGAAATTAGATTGATAAATATTAGAAAACATTTGATTCAAAGTTTTATCTTTAATATTCTGACTTTAAGGTTCTTCAAGTATTTATTATATAATTGTTATTCATGATAAATAATATTGAGATGTTTCAAAATTTCAACATTTAGAAATTTATTTAAATACTTTTTTTTTTCCAATAATACATGTGAACATATGCATCATTCCCCAAGAATAACATATTGTTAGTTATTTTGCAAAGTGAGAAATAAAATTAATATCATTTTCAAAAAGAATGACCATATTAGACATCATTCATTTTTTTACACACAATGATATCAATCTTCAACATAAAGATCAAAATTTATCTAGTAAAATTCAAAATAATAATATTTCCAGTAGACAGTATTGAAAACATTATATTTCAATAATATAAATTTATTACGAACAATGACATATAGTTCAATTATTAATTAATAAATTCATCCAATATATAAATAAATATAACTATATGTATCTTTCAAACAAAAAAAAATATTTTTCATATGTTATAATGGAATAAATTAAGAACCATAATTAAAACATATACAAGGAGGCAAAGTAATATTTGAGATTGGTGTGGTACTAATAACTGTGTTTGAAGAGGATCCTCCTGTGCTGCTTGAGGATGGCACTCCTGTACTAGAGCTAGATGATCCACCTGTGCTGCTTGAGGATGGCAGTCCTGTACTAGAGCTAGACGATCCTCCTGTGCTGCTTGATTGAGCTGTACTCGAACTACCTGGTCGTTCTGTGCTACTTGAACCGGATTGTTCTGTACTAGAGCTAGATGATCCTCCTGTGCTGCTTGAGGATGGCACTACTGTACTAGAGCTAGACGATCCTCCTGTGCTACTTGAGGATGGCAGTCCTGTACTAGAGCTAGACGATCCTCCTGTGCTGCTTGAGGATGGCAATCCTGTACTAGAGCTAGATGGTCTTTCTGTGCTACGTGAACTTGGTTGTTCTGTACTAGAACTAAATGATCCTCCTGTGCTACCTGAACTTGATTGTTCTGTACTAGAGCTAGACGATTCTCCTGTGCTGCTTGAGGATGGCAATCCTGTACTAGAGCTAGATGGTCTGTCTGTGCTACCTGAACTTGATTGTTCTGTACTAGAGCTAGATGATCCTCCTGTGCTGCTTGAGGATGGCAATCCTGTACTAGAGCTAGATGATCCTCCTGTACTGCTTGAGGATGGCAATCCTGTACTAGAACTAGATGGTCTTTCTGTGCTATGTGAACTTGGTTGTTCTGTACTAGAGCTAGACGATCCTCCTGTGCTGCTTGAGGATGGCAATCCTGTACTAGAGCTAGATGATCCTCCTGTACTGCTTGAGGATGGCAATCCTGTACTAGAACTAGATGGTCTTTCTGTGCTACCTGAACTTGGTTGTTCTGTACTAGAGCTAGACGATCCTCCTGTGCTGCTTGAGGATGGCAATCCTGTACTAGAGCTAGATGGTCTTTCTGTGCTACTTGAACCAGATTGTTGTGTACTAGAGCTAGACGATCCTCCTGTGCTGCTTGAGGATGGCAATCCTGTACTAGAGCTAGATGATCCTCCTGTACTGCTTGAGGATGGCAATCCTGTACTAGAGCTAGATGGTCTTTCTGTGCTACCTGAACTTGGTTGTTCTGTACTAGAACTAGATGATCTTCCTGTGCTATCTGAACTTGATTGTTCTGTACTAGAACTAGACGATCCTCCTGTGCTACCTGAACTTGGTTGTTCTGTACTAGAAGTAAATGATCCTCCTGTGCTACCTGAACTTGGTTGTTCTGTACTAGAACTAGATGATCCTCCTGTGCTACTTGAACTTGGTTGTTCTGTACTAGAACTAGACGATCCTCCTGTGCTGCTTGATTGCGCTGTACTCGAACTGTTTGGTTGTTCTGTGCTACTTGAATCAGATTGTTGTGTACTAGAGCTAGACGATCCTCCTGTGCTGCTTGAGGATGGCTGTCCTGTACTAGAGCTAGATGATTCTCCTGTGCTATCTGAAGTGAACTGTGTATTAGAGCTAGACGATCCTTCCGTGCTACTCGAAATTGATTGCTCTGTACTTGAAGTAGCTGTAGTAGAACTAGTTGGTCCTTCTGTGCTGCTAAATTGTTCTGTGCTTGAGGTCGATGTAATCACAGGTTTTGTGATAGTCGTTGGTTGCAATGTACTTGTGGAAGAACTCGGGGTACTTGTGTATAGATTTTTATAACATTCTTTAATTTGGTTTCTTAATGCAGTAATTTGTTTTGAAATATTTTTTACTTCGTCTATGTTGCAATTATTTAATGATATTTTCAGCTTTATAATAAGAGTGATAATATAATCATTTTCTTTCGTAGCTTCTAAAATATCCACAAGTGAATATTGTACTGCCTTATTCAGTGCCTATAATTATCGTATAAAATAGAAATAATATTTATATTAATATTGATTTTCATATTTGATCTTATATTACTACTATTTTAAATATTTATTGCTTTTTACAATTATATCATTTTAAATTTATATTATAATAATATAATTTATATTATATTTATTTCATTAATAATAATATATTTTATTTTTATTGATCGTTAATTTATGATTTTTATAATATCAATATATTATTGACAATATTCAATGTGTTTGTGTATTTTATGTAATTTATGTATTTTCCGCCACATTGAGGAAACGTTTGTATAGATTAATGAAAACAACAAAAAAAATTTATACAAATATATCCTCTATTTAACCTTGTTTTATTAAACGTATTTCTTATTTAATGTATTCTTTCTGCTTATGTTATTTAAAAGATTTTCAAAATGACTCTCTTTCGAACAAATTTGAAAATGTTTTATCAATTGTCAATGAATATTTTATATATAAATATTTAATATTGGATTACAAATGAAATTAGTTAAACTATTTTTATTTTTCAATTAGAATAATAATTCAATTAAAAATTATCCTAATATATAATGTTCACTATAATTCGAAAACAAGATTAAATGGAACTTGTATTTATATGAACTTTTTTTATTATTTTCACGTATAGCTTCATTCCTCGAAGTAGATGCGATAGGATATCTTATATACATATTATATATAATTGTTTTGCTTTTCATGGGAATTTATATATATAGAATTTTTCTTAAACTATTCTTTATTATATATTTTATAAATATCAATTATATGATTTGATGTACTTACGTCATTTAAGCAATTCATGATTTCAAGTGGAAATTCGTTTATTTTTGTACACTTTGCTGCGTTCATACTAATATTATTGAGATCATTCAATAAGTTTCCAGATTTCACGTCTATTTCAGCCGAAAGATGTATCGCTTCATTCAACTTCTTTGAAGTACAATTATTAGTCAAATCTACGAATTCATCGAATAAATGATCCAATTCTTTTTCTTGTGCATCGCAGTCATTACTGCCTTTTATTAGTTTCTTTATATTATTTAATTCAAAACCCATCTATTAAATAATAAATAAGAAATCATTTCAAAAAAACATATCGACACGTTCATTATATTAATTTATACATAAATTTTTTGCAAATTGATTTAGAGCACAATTCTTCTTTTCTTTTAATTAATTTAACAAAATTTTTTTAATTTATTCTTTCACTATCATATAAATATATATTAGGTATTCGAATAATTTATAAATAAATGCAAATTATTCACGAATCATTTGCTATATAAAAAATTATTTAAATAAGAATTGTGATTTTTTTATAATTAAATAAACTTTAAAATGGCTATATTGTAAAGATATTTACTATCATTTTTCACAAAAATATCAGATAATATATATATATAATTAACTGTGCAAATTACTTTTATTTTCAAATTATTATACGAAATATTTAATAAACGATTTAATCATATCAATACATCGCATACTCACATTTTTTAATATGTTATTGACAAAATTTCTTGCTTCTTTGTTTATTTTCTCGCTCTTTTTTTTCATCTCTTCTACAAGCTGCTTAGCTCGTTCCTTAGGCTGAACAAAGATCGTGTTCGCATTATTAATGATATGGTTGATCTTTTCGATAACATGTTTTTCAAATTGTTGCACTTTCCTCGTCGGATTGAAGAACGAAGGGATGATTTGGGAGCTGCCCTGATATAGAACGAAAAAAAAAAAAGAAAAATACTAAAAATATCATGATTAAATATCGATATAATATCGATCCACTTTTCGAACGATTTATAACATTAGCGAATCGATAGAAGTTTATTTACGTAGAATTATATCTATCCTTATATCATCGAACATATTACTATTATGCAAGAGAATCGATTAATAATTCGTTAAATGCAACAACAGATCCACGATGATAATCTTATACGAGTAGTAATGTAATCGTGAAATCATGTTTGGATAGATAGACTTTCCAAGGCAAAACAAACGAAATAAAATTCGATGTACAAAAGTTTAGGCAATTAATTCGTAAGTTTTAAACAAGTTGGATGAGATGTTTCTATTCTCTCTCTAACGAATTACTCGATACCTCGATATAAATGAATGAGTCTCGAGATATTTTTATATATCGAATCTCAGTGTTTTGACGAAAAAATCGTTCCTCGTCGAAACGATATCTCTTCAAATATATCGATGTAACCGTTATTATTATAACAATAAGCTCTCTTCCTTATATCTCACGGCTCTACCCTTCGCAACTACCCTCATTTCAACTCGGATTATTATCAAGCAGATTAATTGATAACGCCGTTGATATCACTTACATAGGCAGAGAAAATAAGGAGACAAAATAGAAGAGCGAATTTCGCCATCCTTCCGCGCTTTAATTCGACACAGTTTCACGCGGAACCGAATTACCCCATTTATATAAGCCGTGAAATTCATGAAATATACGCAAAGTATCTTACGACACTTGTGTCAATATATAATCGTAGTTAATTAATATAACACTTTAAGCTGACACCTTAATTAGAATATTATCTATCCTTTACGTTAATTACTCGGTATGAAACTGAATTAATGGAGTATTTTGTACGATATTTATATATATATATATATATATATATATATTTTTTGAGAAAAAAATACACTTTTTTATCCATGTAGTTATCGTTGATAACGTGTTTTATTATCGCGTATGGACAAGATAAGATTATATTTTTTTGTATTGTATTATGCGTTATCTATATATATATATATATATATAAATATTAATATTAAACGAAACAATTAATAAATTTTTATTTCATATTATATCTTCTTTATCGTTTTCCGCAAAGATTTTACAAATCTTTATTAACGCCGATTTATCATTCTCCTTCGAACGTAAAATATTTTCATTGAGTGTAAAAAATTATTTGTAATTATCTTTTTCCCTTATTTTACATTTACGTAGTTATCTGTCAACTAGAAATATTAATAACAACGAGATAACTTAGTTTGCAGATATTTTTAACGTAATGATTTATTTACCCAAGGATTTTTTTGTTTTTTAATTCGTTGTTAATCTTATTTTATCATTCTCTTTTCTTCTTTTTTTTTTTTTTTTTTTTAAATATTATCTGTTACTTCGATGTAGCGTATATCTAAAATTAATTTACGTTCGTTAGTCGTTTTTTTCATTTATTATCCAATATTATTAGCATAATCCTTTTGCATAGTTGAACCGGTAATTATGTGTTTCATAAAGCTATTACGTATATGATAGAGGATATTCACAGTTAATATCTGTGAACACAATAAAATCTCTATTAAACCGAGTCTTCTTATCTGGTAATGCTTTATTATTCAAACATTCTGTTATACGGCTATTTTTCGATCCCATCGAGAATTTATATATTATCTTCTCTATTGATAGAGAACCGTGTTACGCCAGTTTGATTATGGTATAATACACTGTAATGTCCTCGTACGTAATTAGTGAATAATTACGGCCACAATGACAAACAATAATGTAACGTTATTGACGCGGAAACGCATAGAGTTAACGGTACAGAAATTAGATAAGAGGTAATTAATAATCTTGATCATGGTAAAAGCGTATAAATTTTCGTATACATTTACTAATTGTTTACTAATGCAGGACAACTTACCATCGATGTCGTCTAAAAGCAGAAATTGCGTGTGTATTTTCAATTTTCAATATATACCACGAAGTACTAGTTGGTATTATCGAGTTTTAACATGGATAGTGTAAGTCATTAATATAATCAAAAAATATCGAAAAAAGTAATCGAAAATATTATATGAAATAATAATATATTATACAACTGATAACTGAAAAAAAAAAAAAAATACTATTCAATTTTTAATTAATTAATAAATTAATTAAAAAAATTATTAAATTAATTATTAAAATAATTATTGAAAAATTATATTAAAGATAAGATTAATACAATTTATTTTTTTCTTTTTTTTTTTTTTTTTTTTTTTTTTTTAATTTATCCACATTACGCTCTGAATATTTCATGCCTTTTCATATCGTGTAAATAAAATTCAAATTTTTCATAAATGTTTTTAAATCTGTCCGATGAGTTATGGATGGAAATGTATTGGCAATTGATATTTGATCAAATTGAACGCGAAGCCAAAAGCGACCTCTTCAATTAACCTTTCGTTAGATGTTCAAATGCGGCTTTTTTTTTTTATTCAAAGCAGCATCAACACGACGGTCGAATTCAACGTTTCGCCGTTACAATCGACGACTACACGCACGAGGCACAACGTACGTACGTTCGGCTCGTGTAAGTGAGCGAACGTGTAACGTGTGCAGACACGTACAATTTCACCCCGATAAAACGTTCCCATAGAGAGCCGGCGCACGGGGTGTCGTGGGAACCGTTTCACTCGATATAAAGCATAACGTACGCATTTTTATGGGGCGCGTAGACGTAGCCAAGTAGCTTGGGGATTTCTTTGTAATGAATCGACGATTCTTCTCCACCGACTTTCCCCCAATTTTCCCCTCCTTGCCTTGCCTTCGTCGATCGTGTAATGGAGTATTATGTTTCGAAAAGGAAGTGAGAAATTTGACTATTAGGTATTTGGAAATTTTTAGAAAGAGTTTGAAAGTAAAGAAATTTACTTATTTTCAAATTTTTATTGGCAAGTGGATAAGTTGATTGTGCAATGATGTATTTATGTTTGAAAAAGAAAATGAGAAATTTGATTATTCAGGTATTTCTAAATTTTAGAAACAGTTTGAAATCTATTTTTTTTTTTTTTTTTTGATTATATATTTTCATTATAAATTTTCATTATAAGTAAATATGTTGATTATGTTTGAAAAGAAAGTTGATTGTTTCTAAATTTTAGAAAGAGTTTGAAATTTATTTTCAAATTTTTATTAGAAGTAAATAAATTGATTACGTTTGAAAAGATAATAAGAAATTTGACTTGATTAGGTATTTGGAAATTTTTAAAAAGAGTTTGAATAAGTAAAAAAATTTACTTATTTTCAAACTTTTGTTATAAGTAAATAAATTGTGTAATACTGTATTAGAGATATTTCTAAATTTTAGAAGGAAAGCCAGAAATTTAGTTATTTTAAATATATTTATTTCCAAATATTGAAAGGAATAAAAAAAAATGCATGTATTTTTACATTTTAGTTTGAAAAGTTTGAAATTCAAAAAGTTTCAAATTTTAAAACGTGAAAGTGATAGCAAAACAAATTTTTAAATAACAAGCTTGTTTGTTGAGCAAATGAATCAATATTTGGGAAGTATAAATCTGGTGATTAACGTTTGTATTGATTCAAACGGATATTGGTGAACGGTTTTCTCATAACGATATATCGTAACACAATGTCTTGTACAAATTCGACGAAAATGTTAGTGCATCGATCGTCCTGTTCCCATTTCTTCGGTTCCGATGCGGATACCTGCAATCTGAGAAATCGATCCAACCGACTGTAAATTTAATTGATTCAATTATTATTAGTAACTTTAATATGATATGATATCATCAATTTAATGGATTTAAATTTTAAAAGAAAAAAATTGAATATTAAATTTAAAATATTTATTAAAATATATTTTAATTAAAATGTCTTGTTTTTAAAAGATAAAGTTTTGAAGCACCACTTCTTTTTAACTTAATTTTTTTTTTTTTTTTTTGTATCTTTATCGATAATACGTACTCGATGAATAGAGATACGATTTTGAATCTAGGAAATTCATTCAAGGATTATCGAATTCAAAGGATTATTCAATTTAATCGATTTATTATCTATTTATCGAATATTATGAAAAAAGTAATATTACTGATTTAAATTATCGATCGATTAAATTATCTATCTATTATTTATTAATCTATTATCTATAAATTATCTATATTTTATCTCATTAAAAGATAAAAGATACATGGAACTTCGAATTTTTCTATGTATCTTTAGAAACAAAAAAAATCCTTAAAGTATACTTCAACTAAGAGGAGAAGAATTGACATTATAATTTTCGAATATTCGATATTAAATTATCATCAATTTTCTTTTAACTTCTGTTTCTAGGGAAAAATTAATCGTTAAGAATATTTAATTTCTTAAATTTGCATATAAAAAGGACTATGCAAGAATGTATTTATCATCTTTTAAAATGACGTTTAATGAACCATTTTGAAAGTGTTATCAGTTGAAATAATATTTACCATTTTAAAAGTTAAAATGTTAAAATAAGTATAAAGATAATCTTTTTTAAGTTTGAGTATTTTTTTTTTATTTCATTTATTTATTGTTAAAATATTATTAAAAAATCGACAATACAAATATTTTGTTAATTTACAATGTATCAATTATCGTATATATTTATAAAAATACTATTTTTATTCAAATTAATAATTTCGAAAAATAAAAAAAAATAACAAAAATAACAAGAATATATATATATATTTTTTAAACAAAAAATATGCAATGTTTGTTTTTATGATTGCAAAAGAATAATAAAATAATGGGATATAACAAATTCGTAACAAGTTTTTTTTTTTATATTTCAGATAAACCTCCTTCAGTTTACATTGGAAATAAATACTTATCGGTAAGTGTTTGAACGCATTTTTTTTTTCAATAATGGCTTATTCAAATATTTACAAATAACTTATTTAGAACTTATTTTAAATTTAAAAATTTAAATTAATTTAATTTAAAAATTTAAAAATAAAAAATCTCCTAAAGAGATTTAGAAATATCGATCGTTTATCTTTAAAATCAAAAGTCACTGATTTTAATTTTTCAAACTTTATCAATATGCAAAAATTTTTATCAAAAAATTAATGTGATATTTCGAGATCTTGTCTTGTTCAATTAACGTAACGGGTTGAACGGCGAATAATCGCGGGCAACGTTCGGGTAATATCGCGCAAAATCGGGTAAAATCGGATGATATCGGGCAACATCGATAAACCTCGGATAACAGACAATATACTTACAAGATTTAAAATCTTAAACCCCTGCTCTTAATATTGCCGCCCATAGATATGTCCTAAAACCGGACCTGTGGAGGACTTACTCGCGCAACAAACAGAACCGTATTACGTGAACTATATTTTCATCCCTCATAAGCATAGGATCTAAGCATGTGTCACGTTCTTAAAATCGTTTTTGTTTTTTAGAGGAAATGTTCACTTCGGGGAACTAGGGTTTTAACATCTGTTCACTTATTCATTTCCTGGGCATTGGAATATCGATACCACGTGTTTCCTATCTGTAGCATCTATTTCTTATATGGATGATGGCGGATTAAAAAAATGGATCAAAAATAAGCTCTTTGTAAATGGGATGGGAATACGATATATTAATTATCAATTTAGAATCTATTAGATATTGAAGTATACGTAATCTTAGATCTTAAAGTCTATATCGAATTATCTAAAATTTTTTTATTTTTAATATTTTTTATTATGATGTGATTTATATAAAACAT